TTTCTGAGAAGTTAACATAAAAGTCGACGTTGGTTTACACAAATAACAGGTTTGACGATCTATTCATTTAAGATAAATATATACAATTTCTGATTGTTATCCAAGGTAAAGGGGACACAATATATGAAGCATTGCGGGACGTGAAATATTTGAAAGTATACAGGAAAGGAGATGATTATCTTGTAAATACGTTACACTACAATTCCAGTGACAGAATAGCACCTATCGTTATAACTGCGTCAGAAGAAGGCGTGCTTATATTTCCTACAGCAGCTGAAAGAGACAAACACACAGAAGGTCTTTGTAAGTCAAGTCAAGTAAATTTTATGATATTTTCATGTTAACATGTGTGGAGTCTGTTTATCAAAAATCAGTCAGATACGTTTAATTTGAAAGAAAACGTTTGCATTGCAGTATATGTTTTAGTTTCCTTGTGTGGATAAGAAGAAAAGTACACTTATATAGTGCATTTCTCAGTATTTGCTTTACACATCTGACCTATTAGTGATTTTGATAGATTATTATTTAGCGTAAGTAGTAATATAGAATTGAAATAAAGGCACATTTCTGAAATAAATATATTTATTATTCTTTCTCCTAGTCGGTGTCCATGGCTACGACCCTCATATAGTGCCAAATATGCGACCTTTCTTCATAGCGATGGGACCAGCATTTAAAAAGGGATATATATCGGAACATTTTAACTCAGTGGATATTTACCCTTTGATGTGCCATATATTGGGAATTGAACCTGCGCCAAATAATGGTTCCCTTGACAACGTGAAAGGTTTACTAATGCCATACAAGATGCCATTCACGAAAGTTGCAAGTAGGTATATATTAAGATGACGTTTTAAATAACTAATCTGAACATCCTCTTAGATTTGGTCACCTTAGTCAGATCGTAAATTGAAATTAGGCTTCGTGTGCCACATTGGTTATTGGATATTCATTAAAATGATTTATGAAATTTTTAAATGTAAACTTGTTTGAATTTTATCTGCGCTTTCAACATTTACAGTTGGATTGGCATAATGTCACTTCAATTAAATAAAAGCTTGCAGAAAAAATATATTAATTTGCTTTGTTTTATTTTTTCAGTTGTTATAACTATTGGTCTGAGTGTGACAATGGCGGCAATTTATGTCATCTGTGTTTGTTATAATGCAAGAACGAAATCTGGAAATCCTGTACACGGCTCAAACATGATCACAGGATTTACCTCCCTTAGATCTCCAACACACCATTTGCTCAACAGTGAAGATGAGGACGACGAATTTTGATATAATTTGTTAAACTGTTTCTGTTATTATTCTGTGATTAAATATTGTAGTTATGTATACACCAACGTTTGAATATCTCGATGCTTTATGCAGTATGAAGATAATATTTAAGTATTTAAACATATGGTAAATTTCACAACTTTATATTGATTGATGAACTGAGAAGTAGAAAAAAGTGTAACATTAATTAACACGGTGCATATCCATATCGGTACCCTCTTTGCGAAATCTGCTCAAACGGTTCCCTCCTTGCACATGAATAGGTCATTCTCTGCTAAAACATGTAAAAACAAACCAGCGATGGATAACAATCCAGTAAAATTTCAATGTAATAAGGAAAGGAGGTATGACACGTAGAAAAGATGTATACCCAGGGTAATGTATATTCCCTTAGTATTTCATGTAAATAATTTATAATGCATTGTTAACATTGATGAGAAATTACATTCTATAGAGTTAAAAAAATTCTTCCTAAGCATTTATAAAAAAGCCCATGCGAAATAAATATTTTTCTCATTTTGCCATTTGTGTTACACATTGTTCGTTTTTATGTTTACAGTACACATACTAATTGCTGCCTATATTTTTGTATAATTCTAAACCATTTTTAATCTGAACCTCGGTCATTGCATTAATAGAGGATATTGAATGAGTGTAAGTTCAATACTGAATTTATTGCACGAGTTGAATAAAATCATATTATGCGAGCCTCTGGCGAGCATAATATTATTTTATTCAACGAGTGCAATAAATTCAGTAATGAACTTACACGAATTTAATATTCTATTTATCACATACCCAAAATAAAGACCGTTTAAAGTGAAATAAGAGTCATTTTTCATTGACGCGCCTATAGTATAACGCTAACATTTAGCGCGTCTTTACACTATGTTTGTACAACGCTAATCACGTCACGTCAAAATATATGCACGGCCGTGCATTACCATATTTACGGAGTCGCAAAATCGGCACGGGTGTGTGATAAAACATCTTAAACAATAATGTCGCCATTTCACAAGTTAATTGGAGTCTTTATTCTTCAGCATACATCTGGACAATAAATTCATTGTCATGTATTAAACCTGTAAATTTACTTGATTTTTCTTTAAAAAAAAACAAAACAAAAAAAAAAAACCAGAAAATGTCAGTACGTGACTGAAACAATTATGTTTAAGAAATAACATCGGCCTGAGAGGTGTATATCGGCTATTTAACACCGGTTTGAAGTTTTGATGCGTAGGAATTGATCACGAAGGCCGTAGGCCTGAGTGGTTATTTTTTTCGCATCAAAACGACAAAACCGGTGTTAAATAGCCGATATACACCTCTCAGGCCGATGTTATTTCGATTCTAACACGATGAAATAAGGAAGATAGCTAATGTTGATTTTTCAAGCGGAAATAACTTCCGGTGCCGATTTTCGTATAACGCTGTTCGATTTTCGCACCCTACTGTTGCAAAGATATAGAAATTATTGAACAAAATAAATAATAAGAAAAAAAAAAAAACGTTATTTTATCAAGTTTTCAACAATAAAAACTTACGTCGCATTGTGTTTACATCAGTGCCCCATTTATCATTCTTGTATGTATGAAATAACGTCAGCCTGTTTATGAATGAGTTGTTTACTTACGATGACTTCATTACGCTGCTTACGGATTGGCGCCGTTTTGTCAAAATATTTATGAACTGATATGAATCAAATATGTGGCGTTAGTGTATGTGAGATATTAATTCGGTATTTTATGAAAAGAAAACATTATAAAAACTGAAAATATAAATAAAAATGCTTTTTATTGTTGCTTTAAAAAGCTTTGTAAACTATATAATCGAGGGTGAAAACATAAAAGCCGCATATACAAGTAGTCCCAGGCAGTTTAACACCGTTTTTTCCTTCTTTGTCTATAGTGACAAAATCACGTGGAGTGATAGAATAGATGAAGCATTGAGTAACGTCTAATACGTAACGACACAAAATGTTGCAAGTTCGTTTGATAAACCAAGAATATACGGATGAAAATATATTTATTTATATTTATTCATTTTACACTATGTAAATACTATAACTAGATCTACGTATTATACACGAAATATGCATATAAAACACAAACAGATTTATGAATAAAAGACACATTTGTTATTTGTATTGTTCTACTTATTAATTTATGGATTTATTAAATCTTCTGATACAGATATTTTTACATTCTTATATAATAACTCTAAGTCAAATAAAAATAGGTCTATAAACGACAGTCACTAAAAAGAAAGCATTGAAACAAATATAAACTGTTTATGTAATAACAGATTGGAGATATTATATAAAATTTAAATTGTTTTGAATGGTTGTATACCTTTGCATATTCCACAATATTCCACAATATTTCAATATATTTTTTTTTATTTCTTTCCAAATACTTTTAAAATATTGTCATGCAACAAAACATGTCTACATGATTCTATATCTCATCGCAGAGAAAAATTAGCTGTTTTTATTATTTTTCATTAAATAAATTTTCTTTATTTGAAAAAACGATTTTATTATTAACTTATATTTGAGTACAAAAAAATCTGAATTCTTTTAAAATATAGTTGGACGTAAACTCAGTAATGTTACATTTTTCTGGTCCTTCGGGATCATTGATTCCAGCACTTTTAAGTGTTGAAATTTGAGTCCGATGTCTGGGGGATGTTGCACTTTTTCATTTGTACAGACTCGATTAAACCGAGTCTGCAATTTCCATGTAACTGCTGATTTAGATGCTTTCGAGGGATCATTTTTTTCAAAATACCCTACACTATTATCGAATGATTAAGATGGCGTTACCAATATGCTTGCGTTCAATTTTTAGAAACGTGACTTAACTAAAGGACCTTGAATTTTGCTTTTGCTTGCTTATTGTGATTTTTTTCTGACTTTTGGTGCACTTTCAGTAGCTTCTTTTAAGGTATTTAATTCTGCAATCCTAATCGATTTATTCAGTATTGTTTGGTTTAATACTCTAACACTTACTTCACCATTTGCAGATTAAATCCCTTTTAACAGCAAGTTTTATAAAATTTTTCTGTTTATCATCATTCTTGAAATAAAAAAATTTATTTCCCTTTCTTAAAATTTCCCTGAATGTTATTTTTTATCCTGCTACTGTCTATATCATCTCCAGTCATTACGGAGTGAGACTATAAAAAAGGATTGGAGCACCGCACTAAATACCGTATTCCGGTATATACCGGACAAGGCGCTTGACTGATAAATGCTAAAATCTGCCTTTTTACCCAACGGAATGAACTTAAAACAGGTCAATTCATCTTTTCAACCGAATTGAAGTAGATAATTCATTGAAAAATGTAAAAATCGGCGAAAAAAACGATATTTGTCTATTTTGTGATCATGATTTCTGCAAGCGTCTAGAGGTACTGCTCCAATCCTGTATTGAGTTAAAGCCGTCATTACGTCACATGATGGCGTCACATGTTTAGCAGCAAAACAAAACTGCATGTAGATGCTATTTTATCGGGGAATAAGAAGAATGAAACCATTTAATTACTCTAAAAACATGATTAAAAGCAGGATAAATCAAATACATGGTTGATGTCGTGATAGAGAGGGTTTATCCGGTTCGCTGCGAAAGTGAATCTTGGCTCGCTAAAGCTCGCCAAGATACACTTTCTCGCTCACCGGATAAACCATCTCCATCCCGACATCAACCATGTATTTTCTATTTTCATTTATAGTACATTCTCATGTATACACGGTTAAGACTTCTGTTCCCTACATTGAACAAAGACATATCAGCAAGACGTTTTGACAATTTCTCTGCGTCTAATGACATGTATAAATCTTGTTTTTTTATTTTTACAGATTTGAAGTTATTTTTCTAAATTCTTGTTAAAACTTAAATATTTTTTAGTCTTGTAATCTAAAGAATTGCACCTGTCGATACATAAATTTAGGACGTGATTTTACCTTATTACAAAGAATATCATTAACAAGTTTCACCTGACAAAGAATTATATGTATTAATATTTATATAGATTGTCTGAATTTAATAATATTTCTATTACAGACAATTTTAAAATTTTCAACTTTTTAATGAAAAAGCAATGAAAAAATAAAAGAATTCTACAAAACAACAAATTTTCTTCAATATTATATGTAAGGCCATGTTTAAACATGGTAAAACGCGATTTTGATTAATTTGACTAATTTCAGATATTTTCATCATTTTCTGTTAACCCATTACCTGATATACACGCCTTTTTCACCCCCCCTTTTTTTGTTGTCTCAAATGGTGAAAAAATGCATTATTTAGGCCCCCAACACTTGTTTTTTTTAGAAATGTTGTTTAAAAAAGTGACCACTTTTTTCGGCGCCGCCCCCTATCAAAAAGATCCATCATGCCAGAAGGGGGATGTGCCCCCTTCTGTTTGGGGGTTTTAAAGGGCGGTAGGCCCCCCCCCCCCTCATCGCCAAGAAATTTTGGACTTGTGAGAGGCTAAAAATTACCCCAAGGTCGTGTAACCAACGCTGAAAAGCCTTTGACCCTATCTCAATCCATTGAGAAGTTGCAGCACTTTGAAATCAAATTTGATGGAAAAAATCAATGCAAAATAGTGATTTTTGGGGAATTTTGGGGATTCCCCCCCCGTTGGCCCTGGTAAGGGGAAAATTTTAAAATTGAGTATTTTTTTACAAAGGCAAGGTCCCGCAACATTTGTGCCAAATTTGAAATTTGTATTTAAGCTTTTTATAGCAATTTTAATGTAAGGGAGACGTATCAATGAAAAACCGCCATTTTTTTTCAAAATGGGCCCTGCAGTAAACCCTTTTTGGAAAAAAAGACCAAATTAGTCTTTCCTAGATTTAATGGCAAAAATTAAAAATATGAGAAGAAAAAACATTTTTCAAAAAAATGTTTTGTTTCTGGTTTAAAGTATGAAAATACTTGAGGATGGGGCCTTTATAATGTTTTTGAAAATTTCGGGTTTTCCAAAAAAGTAGAAATGTCCAGAGTCACGTTGTGGGGGCTTGAGGTTTTTTAAAAATTTTTTGTCTGTAAGTATTTGAGCAGTGGCATTCCAAAAAAAGTAATGTAAAATGTAATGTAAAAATTTTTTCAATTTTGGGCCCCCTTAATTTTTTTTTTTTGTGCCGGGTTTTAAAAAATATTTAAAATTTAAATAAAAGAAATATAGACCTACAAAAATTTTTGCGTATCCTTGGGAAAGGGAAAGTAAAAAATTTTCTTCCGCAATTTTTGAAATGGAAATATTTGGGTGTTTGGGTTCCCATTCACGTAGTTAAGATGGTTTTCAAACATTGAAAGTAGCATAGACAGAGACCTTATATTGCGGGATAGTAAGTTATTCCATCCACATAGTACATTTTTGAACATAATAAAGTTAAACGCAGTACATCCACCTAGATAAGAAACTTATTTCTACCATCCACGTATTACATAATTACTTAGTTCCAGCTTTAATTTCTCCAATTATAACAAATGATTGTTTAATCCGGTATTGACGAGAACCTAGTATTGATGAATTAGATACTCCTTAGCTTCAGTTTTGCTAAATTATCCGTAAAAAACGAGACTGTTTCCTTGAAGTCGTCCATGAGATATAACGGAGA